AACAAAACAGCATCATGTATTTATGCATTGCTTAATACAAAGAGCCGAATCGCCCATCACGCAGATTGCATTTAAAAACATAAGAGACGCAGTGAAAGGGAATAAACCTCCACAAATTCGCGACGCGTTTTCTAAAAGTTTAAACTGTTTTAACTTTGCATGGCTACATCTCTTCTGTGAGATGCGAGTGCAGCAGTCATATTTGTCCATCTAAAAAATACGTTGAATATGCGTTCTGTGTGAATGGTTTGGTTTCGGTTTTAACCAATTCAAGATCTTCTAAGAATTGAGCTACTATATTTCTCTAATATTTTGAATGCATAACACAGCAGCGGCGCATCTCCTGGGCTAGACTAACAAAACATTAAAATGCAACAACGTCACTTACATCATTATCACCGCATCACAGCACTCAGTTCAGCACGTGTTCGTGTTTGTGTGTGCTGTCTGCGTCACTCATAACACGTGCCTATATCCTGCACTCTATCGAACATTTTTTATATCGTTATCGAAGAATGTGTACCGTCGATAAATATCGATATCGTTTTATCGCCCAGGCCTAGCAGATGCTGGTGCTAAGTTGAGGTAATTTTTAGATATAAAGTCCAAATATTTTTATTCAACCACCTAGACAGATTACATCTGGGGAAAAAGAAAGGATGTGATGTTCAGAACATGGTAACTACAGTTATTATCAAAGTGGGAAGTGATGCCCTCTGGGGGCATTTGGCCAGGCGTGTTTTTACACCACAGACAATGTTGGAGAAGAAAAAAATATAATTATATTTTCCTTAAAATGTTCTTCCTAACTTCAGGCCTTATTCTCATGTCATATATAACTGTGATGTTCTGCAAAACAACAAGCTTTAAAACACCTTTTTCTTACTGGTGAAAATCAGATGGTCAGATCTGTTTTCTCTCAGTGAACCTCAGTGCAGACAGACCTTCAGTCCAAGACCTGCTTTAGCTAGAAACACCATGCTGGCTGAAGTGGTGGAGAAACTGAAGAAGACTGAACTTCCTGCTGACTGTTACGCTGGAGCTGGAGATGTGCAGTGTGACGTCTGTACTGGAAGAAAATGCAAAGCCGTCAAGTCCTGTCTGGTGTGTCTGAACTCTTACTGTCAGAATCACCTCGAACAACATGAGAGTTTCTTTAAAGGAAAGAAACACAGTTTGACTGAAGCCACTGGACGACTGCAGGAGATGATCTGCTGTGAACATGATAAACATCTGGAAATGTACTGTATCACTGACCAACGTTGCATTTGTGTGCTGTGTATGAAATATGAACATAAAAACCACAACACTGTATCAGCTGCAGCACAGAGAACAGAAATACAGGTATGAGCTTAAAACTAGACTCTGATTAAATAATGCTGACACTTGTTTATTTGTGCTTCACATAGTGCATTGAACTTTACAGAAAATATGGTGGAAAAGCATTGTAAACGTATTTATCGAGACAATCATTGGTAAAATATGTTTTGTTAAAGCAGAATTTAATGGAGTATTCATCCATTGTTTAAAAAACTCAAGGCAGCATGAAGCAAATTAAACATGCAATGACAGAAACATTTACTATTCAGTAAATCTGGCTGAATCTAGATGATTATAACATCAGTTTATTTTTTTGTATCGAACTGCAGCTCCATTACACAGCAGAAACACTGAGTGTGAAAGCTCTATGTCTGTGATAGTTTCACTTTTATGATACTTATACCTGTGTCGTGAAACAGGCATTTTGCTTCATGTTAATTCATGTATGATGGTGGTAACTGATAAGTCCCTCTATATTCCTAAACCGCCCTACCCCACTTTTATTGGATTCATATGAACATGCAACGTTTACTGTTATTCATTTGTACTTCAGAAACAGCTTAAGGAGACGCAGAAGATGTTTCAGCAGAGAATCCAGCAGAGGGAGAAAGATCTTGAGCAGCTGAGAGAGGCTGTGGAGTCTCACAAGGTGAGTCTGGAGAGGAAGAGAAGTTTGACTCCGTCTCAGTCTGGACTCTCATCTTTCAGACTCACTGAAGCTCACTGTGTGATTGTGATGTGTGTCTAACAGCGCTCTGCACAGACAGAAGTGGAGGAGAGTGAGAGGATCTTTACTGAGCTCATCCGCTCCATTGAGAGAAGCCGCTCTGAGCTCATACAGCTGATCAGAGATCAGGAAAAGCGCACAGTGAGTCGAGATGAAGGACGACTGGAGCGACTGGAGCAGGAGATCAATGATCTGAGGAGGAGAGACGCTGAGCTGGAGCAGCTTTCACACACACAGGATCACATCCAGTTCCTGCAGGTAACACAGATCTAGAAGAACAGGGTCAGAGTGGACTTGAGCCAGATTCTGGTGTGACTATTGTTTGGTATCGTTTGATTTTTATAAATTCCGATTCTTCTTTCTGTCATCTTTTTAATGGCTTTTATTTTATTTGATCTTTTATTTAAACAAATTTTTAATAATGTTCACCAAAATCAAGTTAAATCTTAAAATCTGTTCAAATTGATTTTTATTTTCATGACCATTTGCCTGTAAAACATTGAGGAATTTGAGTGTGAAGTCCCAAAACAGGAAGTGATGCTGTATATTAGCAATGCTTCAGCTTGTTCAAACCAAACAAAACCTTACCTTGAAACTGTCACTAACCTCTCAAAAATCATAAATGGCTTTGAACAGCTTTTGCTTAGCAAATCTACTCAAACCTACCACTGATCTGTTGACTTGTGAAATTAACATTTAGGTTGAGTCATCCAAACTATTTACTACAAAGTTCTCATATAGCATAGCAGAAAATTGTAGCTTTCATGTAATAAAACGAATATGAGAAAAATGTAGCTGATGCTGTGAAAGAGCTGGATTGAGGTGAGCTACTAAAGATAAGTCAACAAGAACTGCACAAATGTGATATTAGTACAGGTTATTGGGTGAAGTATGGGGCTGATGAGTTCCCTTTCGATATGGTTTACTCGCATTGCATGAACTTAATGTTACGGGGAAACTCAGGTTCTCCGAAATACTGAAGCCTGATTTGATAACGTTCGTGTAGCTGCACAAACAAATGGCATTTCAGCTTGCCAAAACAGGCGAGGCTGTCTGCCTATACAAGTCTGCGTTGAATGCCATTCATCAGAATCTTTTTCCTTCAGCACGAAGATCATCTCGTCGCTGGCTTCCAAAGAAAGAAAATGAAGAAGGCTACTACTTGCCATAGAAAAGCCCCGGTAGTGGAGAGATGCTACACTCAAGCAGGGCATTTTGCAGTTTCCACTCTATTAGAGCAAATTTTTTGTGCTGTTTGTTACAAAATGTCACGCCACAAGTGTGGCACATGCAGGGCTCCCCTGCATGCCCTGGACGAGCACAGTGAATGTGTCATTTGCCTGGGCTGCACCCACGCTGAAGCAGTGCAAGACGGACCGCTGTCACTGCGAGAGCATGAGTCTCACCTCGCTACGCTTGTGGATTGGTTTCTTTCACGGAAGCGGCCCCACCCCTCACACTCACTTGTTTTGTTCCTCCCAGGAGGATTCCCCAGTGCTATTACCCGATGAGGATCTAAACCCCTTGTCAGAAGAGATCGGTCTGGTCTCTTTTGCTGTATCCGAGGAGGATGCTGCTGAGGATGTCATTGGCAGCTTTTGATGCTGAGGATCGGTCATGCTCCGTGGAAGCCTACACTGCAAATCAAGATGCATTTACTAGATAAGCAAAATGACGTAAGATATTTAGTCTCGTTTCCTGGAGGGAAAAAACCAACTAAATTAAGTGCATTTTACTTAATACAAGTAAAAATATCTAAAAACAAGACGAAAATGCTAAGTAAAATAAGCCTTTTTTGCAGAGTACATTTATGGGCACACAATGGCAGCCTCTGCAGCCTCCCGTAAGGATCATCAACATTATTTCAGAGGCCAAATCATGCATTTACTAGATAAGCAAAATGACGTAAGATATTTAGTCTTGTTTCCTGGAGGGAAAAAAACAACTAAATTAAGTGCATTTTGCTTAATACAAGTAAAAATATCTAAAAACAAGACGAAAATGCTAAGTAAAATAAGCCTTTTTTGCAGAGTACATTTATGGCCCACAATGGCAGCCTCCCGTAAGGATCATCAACATTATTTCAGAGGCCAAATCACCATCTACTAGACGCCTTTATGCCCTCAAGTGGTCCATATTCCCTTTGACTTGTGACATATTGTCCTTTATACAGGAGCCACTGGATAAGGGGAGCACTCCTTCCATGCTTAAAGTATACATGGTGGCCATCATAGCAAACATGCTTTCGTGGCCATCCAGTCAGTAGGAAAGATTGAGTTAGGCATGAAGTTCTTGTAGGGGGCCAGGAGACTGAATCCGTCTTGCCCTCATACCATTCCCATCTGGAATCTATCCACAGTCCTCAGGGCCCATTGAGGCCCTGCATTTGAGCCACTACAGTAAGTGAATTGGGACCTCTTTCACTTAAGACTGCCCTCCTTCTGGCTTTAATGTCGGTCAAGTGAGTGGGCGATTTGTAAGCATTTTCGCTGAGTGATTTCTGCCTTGAGTGTGGGCCTCGGTACCCTGAGATAACAGGAATGAGCACTGCATAGTCCATGCTGTCACTTACGTATATATGCAGATGTCCCCACATTTATCAAATCATGCTTCAGTATTTCAGAGAAACTGAGTTTCCCAATAGTGTTAAGTTTAGCCAATTTTTGTTCCGGTTGTCGCAGGGAACCAAGGTTACATTAATTACCGGCGCATTTTATTTCTGTTTTCTGTAGAGTTTCCAGTCTCTCTTAGCACCTCCTGAATCTACAGACAGTGGAAATGGAAATAATGGAAATGACAATCCTTCCAGTTCTCTCTTCTCTTTTGATGGCCTGAGAGAATCTGTCCGTCAGCTGAGAGACAAACTGGAGGATTTCTGCAAAGAGGAGATCAAAAAGGTCTCTGACAGAGGTAAAGTCCTGGAGATTCATCTGCTCTCAGAAATGAGTTCACCATCATTCATATCATGTAGAACATCATATAAGAAATGTCTTAGCAATGGATGCAGGATCATTTTCTCTTGACATGAGGATCACACTGTTCATGTCTGTTGATTTCCACAGTCACATTAACCAACATTGTTCCGAAGACCAGGAACGACTTCCTACAATGTAAGTCACTAAGAAAACAAGCAGAAAAACTCACTGAGTGTGTTCATGTTCTTCCTGTAAAAGTGAAAGAAGATTTTCATAATTGATGATGTTAAAAGGTTAGTTCACCCAAAAATGAAAATTAGCCCATGAATTACTCACCCTCAAGGCATCCTAGGCGTATATGACGTTCTTCTTTCAGACGAATCCAGTCGGAGTTATATAAAAAATTGTCTTTGATCTTCCAAGCTGTTTAATGCCACTCAGGGGGTGTTGCATGCATCAGTCCAAAAGAAGTGAAATAAAGTGCATCCATCCACAATAAAAAAAGTGTCTCACACGGCTCCGGTGGGTGAATAAAGGCCTCCTGTAGCGAATCGATGCGTTTTTGTAAGAAAAATACCCATATTCAAAACGTAATAATCACTTTAATCTAGCTTGCGCCAACAGTCCTACACGGAAGCAGCTCCGGGCGGATGACGTATGAGTTCAGCGTTGCACATGCGCCGCTCAGAAGTGACGAACGCGGAAGCGCAGGGGAGAGATAAAAAAACAACGGTCACTTATTAGAAGTACAAAACGAGGATTTGTAAAGAAGAATGTCAGAGGATTTCGATATAAGCCAAGAGGAGACTGGTTTTCCTTTGCTAAAGTAAGGAAACTTTGCTTCCTTTGCTCCTGTTAACAAACGTTGGTTTTCACGAGACTCACCGGCGCATGCGCAACGCCAACCTCATATGTCATCCTCCCGGAGCTGCTTCTGTGTACAACTGTTGGCGCAAGCTACATTAAAGTGATTATTAAGTTTTGAAT